ATTTATCCTGGTGTTCAAGTTATATTTTTTATGTACGTCCAAACGAAGTAAAGGGCAAGTTAGGTGGACTGCGGAACCGAAATAAAAGGTCACCGTTTTTGTTGTACTTCCAGAGTAAACTGAGTCCAGCTCTATGTATTCAATGTGTTTTTATGCAGCTGACCGTGCTGCCAGTTTAAGGTTTATAATCATAGTTTCGTCAATTGACGTTTCGTATCTCGTGAAATGTACAGGTATACAACAATATTGACCAGCGTTGCCAGATATACCAATTTATTGGTATTTATACCGATTTTCAAACTAGATACCGATATACAGATAAGTTTCCTCAGAATACCGATTTTTAAGATTTTATACCGATTTATACCGTTTTTTTTAATAATCAAAAGTATTTGCCCGCGATCGATTTTCAGAGAAATTTTTTGTGAGAGACTTGTATCTTTTTGAACACCCACTATTTTCGAAAAAAAACAGTGCTTGGTGACCATTTTGATCACCACTTAAGGACAACAAAAATTTTAAAAATTGAAATAAAAAAAATAAAGAGTTTTTTAAGACTGAGAAAGCCGTCAAACAAAGCAATTCCCCTCAAATCCCAGTCGTAACCATCGTTATAATTTTCGCTTTCAAAAACGGCAAAAATAGAAAATTTAAAAAATAGTAAATAGGTACCGATAAATACCGATTTTTAAATACCTTTGATACCGATAAGTTTTAAAACAATCTGGCAACGCTGATATTGACATGAATATAAAATGACATATTAGAGCACATGTGATTTAAAATTTCATAAACATTACTTCAAATATATTGCTTATTTTTTTTCTTTGTTGCTTACAAGTAGGACTTAAAACTTGCCGAAAAAAGCATCAAGCTAAGTAGTCAAATAAAAAAGTTTGGACTGAAAGTTTCTGTCCGTTTTATAACTTGAACAGTCCTTATTACAAAAAGAAGGTCCTCATCGGGTAATTGATGTCACCTTTGGGTAGTTTCATATGAAAGAGGCGAGCCTAAATTTTCGTTTGGTAGGTGTTTCAGCGATACTGATTATTAATGATAAGTTTTTCTTCCAAACACCGTGAGCGAATTTTAGATAACATTTTTTTTTCCTCTGTTCGGGACCTAACACTACTGCGACCAGTAAATTGATCTATTGTAGTATATCCCGTGTCCTTAGTTTAGTGCATGTCGTATTACTCCATCACTATATTGAGATATGATGAACCCAACAAACAATTGCCTGTTTAAGAAACGACTTGTTGACGATTTTATTCCACTTCATGCTTAATAATACTTGTACTATTTTTAATAATAACTTCTGTTCAGGCTTTGTTCACACAAATCTGGAGAATTTATTCAACCACAACATCGAAATATTTGGTGTTGAATAAGGTAGGTCGAGAAGCTTTTATTCGACTTTCAACAGTTGTGACAGAGCTTTATTCGATCAAATTTTTGATTATTCAGCGTTTATTAGACATCATTAGTTTCTTAAACAGCGTTGGTATAAAGGTGTATAGAGACGCTTGATTTTCATGTAAAATAATGTTTAATCAAACACTATTATATATTTATTAAACGATTATTCAACTACGGGATAATTAATCCGAAAATAAGAACGGGACATAGAGCAGGGTTGTTGTTCTCTCTCGTTAGTATTTTTGTAGTGTCATTACTTTTGTCGAAGCACGGCACATAGATCCTAGAAAATTTATTACATACACACATATCGTTGGATGGGATTCGAACCATGACCTTCCGATCACCAGCCGCTTGCCTTGCCGTCTGAGCTATCCTAGAATACATCAAATGGGCAGCTAAATAAGTAATAAAAGCTTGAATCTGAAAACCTATCAGCACTCCCAGTCGTAACTCTAGCTAATTTAAGGAGATGTGAGAATGATTAATTCATTCATAGTTGTTTAACATGAGACCAACGCTACCTCTCCATCTCTCTAATTTCGATGGAAAGGATGCTATTCTTTTCAATAGATCCATGAATTGGTTGTCGTTAGTGATACGATCTATGATTACAATTTAAATTAATTAGGCGTAGAAAATAAATAAAAAAAGGGTTGAGGTTGCGATTGAACTCGCGACCTTCTACTTGGCAAGCGGAAACGGTAACCACTATGCTACCAATTTCGTTTTGTTGTTAGCCTGAAGCAGTGTTGTGGAATAATGAATGAATACGCCGTTTGTAAAGCATTTACAAAGCATGAAATTAAAACATGGACGCATAGTGGTATAAGAGCTATTCTGCTGACTGTATTCATCATTATTCTACAATATTGTTAAGCAATGCAATGGAATCTAATAATGGAGCTAGAAAACAATTATTAGACGTATAATAAAGCATGTTATTAAATCAATTTAAAACAGTCGAATTAAAGCGTCAATGTATGTAAAAATTACACTTATTCAGTTTGTTATTAGATTAAACATCTGGTGTTGAATCAGGAAGACAGTCATCGTTTGTATAGCTTTTAATAAGTATATTAATCAAATCAGAGCAATCAGCGGAATAAAGGCGCATCATCGATCTCAATGAGGTTTTTTGAGCACATAATTTGACAACCCGTTTTATTCAGCATTGTATACGGTTATAAAGCATTTATTCAATCTATATGCTTATTTGTGACTCCAACTTGTTTGTTGGACAGTGTTGTGGAATAATGAATCTAATACGTCATTTATAAAGCATTTAAAAAGCATTCAATTAAAACATGGACGCATCGTGGTATAAGAGCTATTTTGCTGACTGTATTCACCTTTATTCAGCAATATTGTAAAGCAATGCAATGAAATCTAATAATGGAGCTAAAAAACATTTATAAGACGTCTAATAAAGCATTTTATTAAAGCAATTGAAAACAGTTGAATTAAAGCGACAATGTATGTGCAAACTACACTTGTTCAGTTTGTTATTAGATCAAACTTCTGGTTCTAAATTAGGAAGACAGTCAACGTTTATAAAGCTTTTAATAAGTAAATAAGTCATATCAGAGCAAACGGCGGAATAAAGGCGCATCTATCGATCACAATGAACTTTTTTCAGCACATAATTCGACATCCTGTTTTATTCAGCATTGTACACTGTTATTCAGCATTAATTCAATGTGTATGCTTATTTGTGACTGTGAATTGTTTGTTGGGAAGTATTCGATTTTGTACAGTTGTCACTCTTGCATTTATCGCAAGGATCCGACTCTAATTGAAAGGTCCCGCTATTTATACCCTTCGGAGTGTTGAAACACCCTCCAAAGGCGCGCCCCTTTGTCAATCAAAATTGGATTCCTTAGCAACAAAATTAAGGTATGAACCCTAGTCTTAACCACTTCAAACTAGGGAACAACGAATAGAAGATTAGGAATCACATAGATGAAGACAACTAACTCATTTTTTCCTTCTTTCAAGATCATCCTCGGTAGACAAAGCCGAGTCTTGTCACTATCAACAAGGCATAAAAAGTAACAAGAACTAAGATGTGTTCCTTGGATTACTGAAAAATCCTGTTCCCCTAGTCAGGAACTAGGGAACAACGAATAGAAGATTAGGAATCACATAGATGAAAACAACTAACTCATTTTTTCCTTGTTTAAAGATCATCCTCGGTAGACAAAGCCGAGTCTTGTCACTATCAACAAGGCATAAAAAGTAACAAGGACTAAGATGTGTTCCTTGGATTACTGAAAAATCCTATTCCTCTAGTTTGAAGTAGTCAGGACTAGGAATCGGTGGTAGATTTTACATCCCGTAACGTACCACAAAAAGGTGATCTACCCACATTACGGGGCTAACATGCTGAACATCTGCCAAAACTAACAACTGTTAGGACAAATGGACGAAATAGAGATTGCAATTCAATGAGATACGTATACATAGGTAAGGCACATAGATTGCAATTGAAAAATGCACAAATAAATGGCTCATCTGTACAAGAATGGAACCACCACTGTCCTACGTGAATCACACGGAGTATTATCAATTCAGAGAAAAATTAGCATTTGGCGTCAGCTTATTTGACGACCTCAGCTTCAATAGCAAGCTGCGGCTGCCAGATGCATTGCATTTTTCCCCTGAAATGGCAATGGATCTAACAAATAAGCGAAAGTTCATCTCTTGATTACGTAAATATCAGCAGGCTGCGCATAGTAGGCCAGCATCTTCAAGTTCACGGTTACTCGCTTTGAAGATCTCTTGTTTTTGCTTAGATCCACAAGTCTGTCACTCCTTGGAAAGAGTTGTAGGCTACTGCATGACGAACAAGGAAGGAAGCTATACATAACATGTCTGGCAGGTAATTACTCGAACTTGTATGTGTCACTACGCGCTAGGCAGGTGATAAAAAGCGCGTTCGCTTACTGTTTTTAGCCAAAACAGAAGAATCGTTGTAGTTTTGGTTTCATTTTGGGTTACAGTTATGCTAATGATTCCGTCGATAGTTAGCATAATATTTCGGTCATATGTATCTTTCTGCTCAATGTTGTTTACCTTGCGGCGGTTGATAGACAGGATTCCCACCATAGGCGCCTTTATGTAGTTTTTTTTTTAAGTTGGAACCGTGGTGGCATTGTAGATGGATTTGCTGAGTAGCGTGTCTTCTTTGGGGCCTCCCTTAGTTCAGTCGGTAAAGGCGCTGCTACAAAGTAAGACCATGCTGAAGGTGGTTGGGTTCGATTCTCGGTCCGGTCTAGGATTTTTTTCGGGTTGGAAAATTTCTCGTCTTCCCTGGGCATATTGAGTATGATTGTACTTGCCACACAATTATACTAATGCAAAAATGGTACAGGCATCGAAAGCTCTCAATTTAATAGCTGTGGAAGTTCATCTACAACACTAAGCTGAGAGCACGCAACACGCTAATATGCGATAAGCAATAAGCTTGAAATGCGAAGAAGAAGTGTCTTTTTTCGGCAGCAATGATCGAACGAACCTCTTAAGCGCTTAAAGGGGTTGGTTGTATGGCTAAATGGGCCATATTGAGTGAAATTCGCTACCACCACTGCACATTTAAGCCCGTAATGTCAAACGAGCCTCACTTTTGTTGATACCAGAATAAGTTGTGAAGCAGTCGCTTATGGGCATTCGAAGATGATACGATCGAAGTTGATACATTTAGTAGTACTTGTGGTAACGTGTAATTCGTTAGTTACATCCGTCCGTGTTTTGGACCGTTTCAAGGCTCGCGTTGATCAGAGGGTTGTTCGCCGGCAACGGTTGCGTGATTTGCGTGAGTTAGCTACGAATGATTTCACACCCACGTTCAGGTTGCAGGACACCGATGGCAATGCACTCCAGAGCGGAAACAATGTCACCAGCACAAATCAAATCCAAAACGAAGGAGACCAACCGAGTGAGGACCATACCGAAATGGACATAAGTGAAAGTGATCTTGCGGAGGCTGCCCTGGGCAAGGAGCGAACGCCTTTTATAAACTCGATCTTTGAGCAGCATGTGATCTTTCGGATTTATCATGGGTAACAATTAATTTCTTAGCTGAAATTGGTGAAGGTGACCGACTCTATTAGTCGTCAGTTGTGTTTTGTGATCAATGCCTAAGCAGCTCAGAGGATGGTATGATGGGTTTGCTTTATGCGGTGGCTACGATATGATGAAAGAGTATAAAATCGAGTTAGGTGCTTTTTATTGAGATTGTGCACTTTTTCGCCATAGGGCCTCAGATTGTCCAGTAAATTAAGGCACGGTATTAACAAGTTTAGAAACTCTTTCGGTTTGGAAATTTTCTCGACTTGCCTGGACATAGAGTATTAAAATGCATGCATTGGATGGCATAGAAAGCTTTCAATTAATAAATGTGGAGGGGCTTTAAGAATACTTAGTTAGGAGCTGGTGAAAAACCTACATAAGAAGCGTAACAATCAGATAGAAGATGCACTTGAGTTGATGGGTCGATAGGTAGGGTCCAGGTGTGGGAGCTGCCTTCCTGGCACGTCGGTAGCATTGGTGCTCAGCACGGAAAACAAGATCGACGGAAAAAACAAACCAAAGGAAAAAAAAATCCAAAATGTATAATTATGAACTTTTCAGTCATTGTTAATCTCTAGCTAATCAGCTAATGATAGCTGGCTCGTTGAAGACCACTTTTCGATTAAATGTATGGAACAAAAGTAATAAATAATTCAAACCACTGATGTCTTATGATTATGCTCAATCAGCTGTTCAGAAGGCAACATAGGTGTTTCTGACGCGTATAATAGAGCATAACAATCATGGCTACTATGTTATACAGTAGAATACAGTGTTGCCCACAAACAGCTGCTTGATCACGCAATAAGATTATCAATCTCTTAAACAAATAATAGCTATTTAAATTGACGTTTGGTTTAAAAACTTTCTTTTGCAAAGTTATAAGAACAGTTATATAACTTATGAATAGTGCAATTTGAGAAAAGGTTAGAAGACAATGAATAAAAAGTTTATATTTTCCATAGTAACTTGCATTTAAATTTCAAATGGTTTGTGCCAAGTCAGTTTCACACCAAAACAATTCACATTTTGGGAGGCTAATCAGGACCCGATTTGGGATAGTTTGAGCACTGTGGAGCAAAAATTTCAAATTTTGCATCAGTCTAATTGACAGGGTCCGGCTATTGTAGTGAAACATAATAACATGGTCAATACTTGAAGAAATATATAATTCATCATAAAGTTTTCGTATTCAGAAGCTAGGAAAAGGGACCTAAATGAGCATTCGGAAACCTACTTGAAATAGTATTACTATATATGTTAAAAACCATGTATGCAAATTTTTCAAAATCCCTCAAGGGAAAATTGCTTAATAATGTTTTACAAAATAAATTGATATCAATTCAAAATCGTTATGATATCGCTCTTTTCTGCTAGATGGTACCAAATTTGGTTATTCTACACTCCCGAGCATAAGTTCAAGGACACCCAAAAAAACATGACAAATTTGTTATGTTCATAACTCTGTCATGTTACGTCCAATTTTCGTTCTCTTTAGATCATTTGAAAGGTATTGAATGGTACATTCCTCGTAGACAAATTGTTCAGTATAATTTTCAAATTTTGTGTTCACCCAAAGTTACAATATTTTCCAATATTTACTCTGAAGAATCGTGACTGATTTTCTCAGAATTGGGTTGGCCAAATTTTGAAATAAAAGTAGTAGTAGAACGCTTAGGGATCGTCCATTATTTATGTCACATTTTTAGGGGGAGGGGGGTTTTGGAAACTGTGACGAGCCTTACAAAAAAACAATTAAGGTCCATATAAAAAATGTAACAAAGGGGGGAGGGGGGGTTGAAAATGGGCCAAATTTGCGTGACATAATTAATGGACCTTCCCTTATGCTATACCATTCATACCATTCAAATAACCTTTGGAGATCGAAAATTGAACAAAACACATTTGCATGGTTTTTTGGGGTGCCCTTAAACTTATCATCGGTAGTGTACCTTGAAGACCAATTTTACAATTTTATGTTCTTCTGGACTCAACCTTTACAGCACCTTTAAAGATTGAGAAATTTCTAAAAAAAAAATATATATGCTCTTGAATTAAATACGAAAACCTAATTATGTATTGATTATCCTCAAACAATAGTTTCAGCACCGACAAACCGACATGACACTTAATTCTGACTTATGCCCGAAAATTGTAAACGGCCGATTTAAATGTGCAGTGATCCGAACTGTCAAAACCATAGAATTTTTTAATCTATATAAAAATAATTTGTCCAGAATAGATCAGACACAAACCAATTCATAAATTGTTCATGCTAAATATTTCCGCGAACATGGAGCTAGATGTCAGTAGTGTGGTTTGGTCAGAAATTTTATTGTTTTTGCTATGGTCATTCATGTCGGTTTGTCGGTGGTTTCAGCACAGTCTTGCTATACAATAAATCACAATTTTTAGGCACGGGCCCAGCTTAGTGGTTAGCATCCATGCCTCTCACGCCAAAGGTTACGAGTTCAAATGTCATCACCGGACAAAGTTACGATTGGCCTAAAATGTGTTAAAGTGACCATAATATATAAAAAAGATATTGAAATGGACAAATAAAGCAAGTTTTTAACATTTCAATAATCATAATATGTAGGGGAAATGGATGTAATGTCGGCCTAAATGCCTCTGATTTGGACCCATACATAAATTCAGCAATCGACTAAATTTTCAATAGCGACCAAAAATATCCATTAGTACCGTCCCAATGACGCGTTCATCTAGAAAAAAAAAAGATAAATAGCAGATTTTTAGCAATGGACATCTTAGATCCATAGGTCAATATTAGAGCCATTTCCCATATGTCAAACTTATTTCACTTCAATAGCCGGACTCTGTAGGTATTATTTTGCTATAAAAAATGTTTTTCGGATTTCAGCAATCATTTGACGATATTTTATAGTACAGTCAACTTTCCATTTCTCGATATTAAAAAGACCATCGAGATAGGGAGAGATTTATATTCAGAACCAAGGTTGCAAAGACTCATTTCAGCTAAAACAATGTTTTTCTAAATTATGAAATAATTAGATGCCATGATCAAATTTTGAATTGGTAGGATACAAGAAGAGGTTGCAAAGAATGTGTTTGACATATTAAACCTGTTTATTTCACTTCATGAGAGTCACAATCAGCGATTTTTCACAAACTCACTCACTCACTCACTCACTCACTCAGCGATCAGCAAATCGCTGATTGTGACTCATAGAAAGCAAAATTTACAGGTTTTATGTTTCCAACGCATACTTTGTAACCTCTTCTTGCAAGTTACAAGTAAAACATGCCATCATACCATCTTTTGGTTTTATTATTCCGAAAAACATTATTTTAACTGAAATGAGTCTTTGCAACCTTGTTCAGAACAGTAACAGAATGTCGTGGTTTCCGTGGATCCTCTTGGGAAGCGATGGTGAGGGGTCTATATACAATTTTCACACTGCCGTACTCTCACGGAACTATCAAATCTATACTTTCATCTCCTCATCTATCATATAAAATTAACATTTTACACCGTTAGAAATTATTGCCAACTTTGGTATTTTTACCGAACTTTCAACAGCTGAACGTTCGGTAAAACTTTAACTCTCATTTCAAAAGCTGATTCACTAAATTTTAATTTTAAAACACTGTCAGCTTTGTTTTAATAATCGAGTCTTACTATTGGGATAAAGTTTTTCTTGTTTTGAAGCCTTAAAACTAATGAATTAAAATGCCATATTTATACCGAGTAGTTCAGCTGTTGAAAGTTTGGTAAAAATTACCGAAGTTGGTAATCGTTTCTAAGTGTGTAAGTCTGATATTTGTCACTAAGCATCTCCAATTATGTAAATCGTTAACTTCACGCAGTGAAAACATTATAATTAGTTAAAACTATCATTTTTTTCTGTTCGGGACCTAAAACCACTGCGACCAGTAATTTGATCTATTGTAGTATATCCCGTGTCCTTAGTTTAGTGCATGTCGTATTACTCCATCACTATTGAGAAATGATAAAGTATTCGATTTTTTTACAGTTGTCATTCTTGCATTTATCGCAAGGATCCGACCCTAATTGAAAGGTTCCGCTATTTATACCCTTCGGAGTGTTGAAACACCCTCCAAAGGCGCGCCCCTCTGTCAGTCAAAATTGGATTCCTTAACAACAAAATTAAGCAATGACACCGATAATGACCATGCATCAGAACCCTAGTCTTAACCACTTCAAACTAGAGATCAACGAATAGAAGATTAGGAATCATATAGATGAAGACTAACTAACTCAGTTTTTCCTTGTTTCAAGATCATCCTCGGTGGGCAAAGCCGAGTCTTGTCACTATCAACAAGGCATAAAAAGTAACAAGGACTAAGATGTGTTCCTTGGATTACTGAAAAATCCTGTTCCCCTAGTTTGAAGTAATCAGGACTAGGAATCGGTGGTAGATCTTACATCCCGTAACGTACCACGAAAAGGTGATCTACCCACGTTACGGGTAAACTATCATACACACTTAATTTTTTTCGCCGAGATTCCAACAGCCGAGTAGTTCTGCAATTTATTTTGCTGAGATTCAGTAAAACAATTGCCGAGACTCAGCTAACAAATAAGATTTAGCTGAGATATCAGCTAACAAATAGATATTTTGCAGAGATATCCGCAAAAGTAAATGCCGAGGTAATCGGCTGTTGGAGATTTTACCGAGCTTGATTAAGTGTGTATCATTTATCATGTAAAAGTAACGTTACTATACACACTTAATTTTTTTCGCCGAGATTCCAACAGCCGAGCAGTTCTGCAATATATTTTGCTGAGATTCAGTAAAACATTTGCCGAGACTCAGCTAACAAATTACATTTTGCTGAGATATCAGCTAACAAACAGATATTTTGAAGAGATATCAGCAAAAGTAAATGCCGAGGTAATCGGCTGTTGGAGATTTTACCGAGCTAGATTAAGTGTGTAGGGAAAACATATGTCTGTTCGATATACTTCATACTAAGATTTTTTTAC